CACGTCCTACCGACCAGAAAGTGGTCGCTTTTGTGTTCAGAGAGTTGTTGCTATTCTTTTCTTCGATCTCCTGTTGAGTTCGTAGGTGTTCAGAATGGTTTGATCCCTATCCAGCTGAATTCCTGGGACCAGACGAAATCCAGGTCTCCTACTCCTCCGCCAATTTGCTCCGCCTCTCCCTTGCCTGAATTCCTCTTATATCTAGAGGGTAGAGTTACAGATTCAGCTAACAAAAATACAGCATGTCAGTTAAATATTATGTGGGACATACTTACATTAAACAATGATTAGTTGTTCATCTGAAATTCAAGTTTAACGAGGCAACTTGCATTTTACCTAGCAACCCACTTAAAGCCTGAAACATAGTTAAACATTCATTCAGTAAACTCTTCTAGAGAAGGAACATGCAAGGCCCTCAGCTGGGCACTGGGGAAATAGCAGTGGTGGGCCTGGACCCTACTGTCAGAGCTGGGAGGGACCAAAACAGACAAGTAGTGTGGTAGAAAAAACGTTGCAAAAGGTTCAGCTAGAATGAACTCCTCCAGAATTTTGCAATTATCATTTCTAGAAAAAAGCTATTTTAATTTTCAGCATACATGAACATTTTATGATTTTCACTGAGTACCATAATTTTAATTTTAATGATGTATAGGATGGAGGCATAGTTATCGTTTCACGCTGAAGATATCTAAAATTCATTCGGAAGACTTGTCTGCCTATGAAGAATTTGTCATCTGTCATCTTCGTCTTCATCATCACCACCATTAGTGTTGATCAGAAGTGGCAGCTGCTAGGTGGAGGCAGGATGACCTAGGGCTGAGGGCATGTATCCCGGCTGTGCCATTTATTAGCTGAGATCTTGGGAAGTGCCTTGACCTCTCTGTCCCACTGTTTTCCTACCTATAAAATGAAATATAACAATAATACCTGCCTCTGAGGGTTGATGAGATGGTTAAAGAGTTAAAAGAATTGCTCAGAACAGTGCTTGGTATATGCTAAGTGCTAGATAAATGTTGGTTAATATGATTTTAAAATTATTTTTAAACATGCACTTATAATTGACGTATGTACTCTTGCTATGGGAACCTAGAGGAGGCAGTGGCTGTGTGTTCTTGAAATGTGAATTGACTCTATTAGCACTGATTTTATATTCCCAGCCACCTTGAAGTTGAACATCACACTGCTTGCCTCTTTGTATACATCGTTCACCTCCTCTTAGCTCCCGCTAAATGGTGTGATAGAGGCTTTGAAAATGTTTGTTGTTGGGTATATTAATGCTATTGCCAGCCTAAAGAAATGTTTTTTTTTTAAAGGTTTTATTTATTTTTTGCCAGAGAGAGAGAGGGTGAGTCCAAGCAGGGGGAGCGGCAGGCAGAAGGAGAAGCAGGGACTCGATCCCAGGACCCTGAGATCATGACCTGAGTCGAAGGCAGATGCTTAACCATCTGAGCCACCCAGGAGACCCCTAGCCTAAAGAAATGTTAATGACATTCATGGATCATGTTTCCCCAAGGTTTCTGAGTTCCAAAATAATCTAACTACCTATATTTTCACTATTCCTGATTTATTTGTAAAGATTGGGCAAATATATTTAATTTAGGATACTTGAGGTGAACTTTATAAATACTCTAGGGATGAAAGCAAATTGAGAATTCGTTTACCATTCACATCTAAATGCACATTAGTACACCAGGTATGAATAATAGTTTCAATTGATGGAGCATTTAATAAATGATCAACACTGTTTTAACCACTTAACATATACAATATAACCGAATTCCCCGAACTTTTTGAGAGTTAGGTGTTATTAACCCTAACATTACACATGAAGAAGTGGAGGTATGGAGCAGTTAAGAAATTTGCCCAACTTGGGTTCAAGTTCAGGACTGTCAGATTTCAGAGCACATGTTCAAAATGAATATGTATGTTTTTCAACATAAAAAGCTAGTGGAGAGCAGAGAGGAGAACTGAGACCATTTGTTTATTCATTCATTTATTCAACCATTCATTCAAGTGTGGCACCTGCAGAGGTGTGAAGGACAGGGCTCTGCCCTCAGAAGGTCATGATCATAAAGGACTGGGTATAGAGAATGTGGTTAAGTGCTTTAGTAGAGGTCCTCATAAAGTGCCAAGGTAACACAGAGAAGGCAGGGCCAATAGTACCAAAGAAAGGTGCTATGGCTGGAGAAGGCATCAGAGAGGAAGTAACATTCTGTTGCATCAAGCAGACCAAGAAGAGAAAAGTGCTTATCAGACAAAGTAAGAGAAAAGTGCCTCTTTCGGTCTTACTTGGCATTTAATGAACACTATGTAAGATTTGCAACTGATACCACTTCACCAACATTACATAAGTAATAAGGAAACAAATATTTTTGAAAGTCTACTTGGTTCAAAGTCCTGTGGTAGGCATTTTTATAGATAGGGGTTAGCTTCCCGAAAACCATCTCAGTTAGATACTCTAATCTCCATTATACAGATATAGAAACCAAGGCTAAGAGTGGTTGAGATTTGCTGAAAATGGGAAGTTATTTATTTAACAAATTCAGTTTTCTATTTATTCATTCAATAAGCATTGGTTGAGCATCTATCCTGTGTCAGGCAGTGTGGTTGGTTGCTGAATAACAATGGTGAACCTGCCCCCAAATATATATTTTTAAGAAAACAATGCATCCTTTGAAATGAATGGGAGTGATTGGGGAACACCCTGGGATCCACAATTAGGATTGTCCTCTGGCCTCTCCCCTGCAGGCCTGTGCCCAGGTTACAGGGAGAGGTACCTTCTGTCAAAACTAACATAACATTGCATATGAATTATGCATCAATTAAAAAACATTAAAGCCCTCCAGTGCAGCTCCACTGAGCACACTGCTGTGCTTTGTGTCTACAGGGAGCACTGCAGGGAACCAGCGTAGAGAAAAGCAACATGGCAGACTCCAAAGGGTGACTGAGGAGACTTCATGCACATGCGTGAGATACCCTGGGGGCTGCTGGAAAGGGAGTTTGGGGTGTCGGCAGCTCTGTATGGGAGAGAAATCTGAGCTGAGAAATGCAATTTTGTGGTCTAATTCTGACATGGATTTTACTCTTTGGTTTTTACAAAGGTCAGTGTTAGGGAGATCAGGCTTCCAGGAGGGTGAAGAGGGCTGCCATGTTGATTCAGACCATGGCACTCCAGAATTGTGCAGTTACATCCTTGTGGCCCTGTGGTGACCCTGGGTGGGTGGGGTCTGGAATGTGCTCTGACCTGGGGAGCAATCGGATGAAAGCACTGGGCATTAGAAAGGCTCAGATGTAGTGAAAAGAAGGGCCATATGCACCCCAATGTTCATAGCAGCAATGTCCACAATAGCTGGAAAGAGCTGAAATGCCCCTCAACAATGAATGGATAAAGAAGATGTGGTCCATATATACAAAGGAATATTACTCAGCCATCAGAAAGGATGACTACCCAACTTTTACATCAGCATGGATGGGACTGGAGGAGATTATGCTAAGTGAAATAAGTCGGGCAGAGAAAGTCAATTATCATATGGTTTCACTTATTTGTGGAACATAAGGAAGAGCATGGAGGACATTAGGAGAAGGAAGGGAAAAATGAAGGGGGGGAAATCAGAGGGAGAGATGAACCATGAGAGACTATGGACTCTGAGAAACAAACTGAGGGTTTTAGAGGGGAGGGAGTGGGGGGATGGCTTAGCCCAGTGGTGGGTATTAAGGAGGGCACGTACTGACTGCATGGAGCTCTGGGTGTTATATGAAAACAATGGATCGTGGATCACTACATCAAGAACTAATGATGTACTGTATGGTGACTACCATAACATAATAAAATAATATTAAAAAAAAAAAAGAAAGGCTCAAAGACAGCTTCAATGTTCTCTAAGACCAACTTCTTCCCCTTATTACCTTGAGAAGGCCTGATCCTGGGAGGCACGTTATTCATAGTAAGAAGTGACGATTTCTTTTTCAGCTTAGGGTTTTTGATTCCAAGCAACAGAAACAGATCTTGTCTAATGTAATCAATTCATTGAGGAATCTCAATTTACTGAGATATAAATATCCAGTGTTTTATTTCATCCAACTGTACCTGTGATTCTCCAACTTTCATGTGTTTATGAATCGCCATGTTAAAATGCGGATTCTGGTTCAGTTGGTTTGGGCTAGGGGCAGGAATTCTGCTTTTCTAATAAGCCAGGGTTGCTGGTCTGTGGACCACACTTGGAGTATCAAGGAAATCTACTTCTTGGAGTGCCCCTTGTCCCTTTTTGAATCTGTAAACATGGTCTTTGTCCTATTCTAACAATAGGACAAAGACCTATGGGCCAGGTTCTATTCATTCTAGAAGTCAAAGCATATTCCTATTTATTATTTTAAAAACTTTGATCTCAATCTTTTTGGACAGATTCTTCTCTTTCTCTGGTGCAGTTTAGAGCTATGGCCCTGCCTTTTTAGATTTGAGGAGGGGGTATGTGATTTGGTCCTACGCTGACCCCCCTCCCCCCAAATGCATTTCATCGGGGGTTTGGGGATGGGGAGAGATTTGGAGAGCTGAAGTCTCCCTCCTTAGCTTCCTCCATGTCTGCCATGGTTAGTGTCACAGACACTACTCTGCTTCAAGCTGGCTTTAGCCATTGCTAAGGCCTTTACTAGTTGTCTTGGTGACAGTGATGAGTGCACTTTAGGGCCCCTGCATCTCTTGGGAGCCTGTCAGAGAGGTAGGCTTCCTCCCCTTGGCTCCTGACGGTATATCCCAGGGATCCTTTTGCCAAGCTGGGCATCCTCTCACGTGGCCCTGGAACCATCTGTCCTATTTCTGTGGAACTAGCCTCTGTGTCTGATGCTCGGTCTTGGCTGGAGGGATAGTTCAGGAGAGTGGCCATTCCTACTTCTTCCACTCATGCAGAAACCCCTTTGAGGAGATAGGATTAGGACACCCATTGTTCACCACCTGAGGGGGCCTGTAACTCCTTCCTGCCGATAAAAACAAAAACAGAAACACATTTTCATCCTGTGGGTTTCACCTTAGCTCGAACATCATGTCTAGTTCTAATGGTGCCGAAGAGAATTCCCACAACAAGCCTCGGACATCTCCTTACCCGGGTTCCAAAGTCCAACGCAGCCAAGTTCCTAATGAGAAAGCAGGCTGGTTTGTTGAGCGGCAAGACTATAATCCTGTGGAATACACTGCAGTCTCTGTCTTGGCAGGACCGAAGTGGGCAGATCCTCAGATCAGTGAAAGTAACTTCTCTCCCAAGTTTAATGAAAAGGATGGGCATGTTGAGAGAAAGAGCCAGAATGGTTTGTATGAGATTGAAAATGGAAGACCCAGAAATCCTGCAGGACAGACAGGACTGGTTGGCCGGGGGCTTCTGGGGCGATGGGGCCCAAATCATGCTGCAGATCCCATCATAACCAGGTGGAAAAGGGATAGAAGTGGAAATAAAATCACCCACCCCGTTTCTGGGAAAAACAGAAACTGCTTACAGTTTGTGGCAATAAAAAGGAAAGACTGTGGGGCATGGGCAATCCCAGGGGGGATGGTGGATCCAGGAGAGAAGATTAGTGTTACACTTAATAGAGAGTTTGGTGAAGAAGCTCTCAACTCCTTACAGAAATCCGGTGCGGAGAAGAGAGAATTAGAGGAACAGTTGCACAAACTCTTCAGCCAGGAACATCTAGTGATATATAAGGGATATGTTGATGATCCTCGAAACACTGATAATGCATGGATGGAGACAGAAGCTGTGAACTACCATGATGAAACAGGTGAGATAATGGATAACCTTACCCTAGAAGCTGGAGATGATGCTGGAAAAGTGAAATGGGTGGACATCAGTGATCGACTCCAGCTTTATGCCAGTCACTCTCAATTTATCAAACTTGTGGCCGAGAAGCGAGATGCACACTGGAGTGAGGACTCTGAAACTGAGTGCTGCGGGTTGTAGCCCGCATTGCTGTGGGAGCCACAGGCCAGCAAAGGGGTGCATGCTGAAAAGAAGGCGGTATCACAGAGCTCATCCTACAGGAGGGCAGGGTCGGTCACTTGGAAATTATTTTATTCACTTTCAGAGCTATTTGCATTTAGAAGGTTCACATCAGAATAAAATTAGTAAATATGGTGAAATGCAACACAGAATTTTCTGCTTTCTAATCAAAAGAAATATAAACAATCATTTTGTATGTATTCTATTTAAGCATAGCTTAAACCAACTCTAAACAACTGATGGTCTTTGAAGAATCATAATCTGAATAAAGATATATTTATAGTCACCCATAGAAAAAAAAAAAAAGAAACCCCTTTGAGGAGATACATGCTTGGGTCCTGGCCCCAGGCCAGCAAGTATCCCTCTGCAGCCTTCCAGGAATAGGTGGGAAGTGGGCTGAAGCTCCTCATAAAGCTGCTTGCAGCTGTCCCAGTCCCTCCCTGGAATCTAGTCTCTTTTGTCCTGCTTCTGGGAACCACCACCCTCAGAATTCACGCATCTGGCTTAATGTTCATGTTTCTCTTTGATGCTTTTCCTCCCAGGTTGAACAAATCTCAGTGAGAAGAGAGGAAGGAAGAGCTAAGTGTCACAACATAATCTTTACTATGCTGGTGCTCATAGCTTCCTCTTGCAGGTGTCCTACCTCTTTTTGGCCCACGGTGGGCTGGGTATTTGGACATTCATTGCAGGTCACCAAGTATTTTTCGTGAACCATGGACAGAGGTCTGGCTGCTGGGCAGAGCAGCTCACGGAGGGAAGAGTTTTTGACATCCTGTTTTGGGCTGTCAGCTGTGATCCTTCTACACGATCTGGCATCATGCTTGTCACCATCGTCTCCCAACAGGAAACTCTCAGAGAGTCATCTGGAGAGATGCAAACCCGAGCCATTAAAAAGCAGACAGATCTTTGTATTTGTTAAAGCTCACAATTAATATTTCATGGAGAAAGGATTAATAAAACATCATGCAATTAGCTGCTTCCCTTCAGCAATCACATCTCATTAAGGGTGGTAGGAGACAACTGACAGGACTCCAGAGCAAGCAGCTGGCCTGAGCCCTGACTTGCAGAACAGGCCTGCTGCTTTAGGGAAGTGACAACCCCAGTTCCGTCTTGTCTGGAGAAGAATCTTCTCTGGTAAGTGCTGTGATAAATGGGGTTGGCTCTCAGCAGGATATCTTCCAGCAACTACATCTTTGTCTGTATCGCCAGAATTCTCCCTTCATTTACTCATTTATTGTCTTGTATATGCCAGGTGCTGTGCTTGGTGATGGGGAAGGAACAGTGGCCAGTATCTCCCCTTCTGGAAGTCCTGCCAGCCCCCATCGAAGACTTGTGCTTTTCCCTCCATGCTCCTTCCTGTCTGGCACTGCTTCGCATGCCTCTGCTAACCTGTTTACCTGTTGTGCTCTCCTCCAGCTTCGACCCTGTGAAAACACTGAGGCACATCCCACACTTTGTGCCTTTGTTCCCCTCCTGTGACAGGCATCCCCCAGCCTTCCTTCCCTGGACCCCAAAGTTGTACAAAGACACCGTCTCTCATCCCCACTTCATGAAGAACAATGTGGAAAGGCAGTGATGGGGCCATTAAAACCCCGTTACATTGCCTCCTTCTTGCCTGGGCTAAGAAGAATCACATGGACCTAGTTCTTCTTGTCTGAGCCTTTCTGTTTCCTCTTCCATTGTGTTTTCTTTTCTCAGGCGTAGAATGGTGAGAAGAAAAAAATAGGATTGAATGTGAATCTCCATTCCTAGGGGAGCTAGCAGGTGGCTTCATCTCCCCAAGTCTCAGGTTTCCACCCTGTGAAAAGGGAACAGCATCCACTGCATGATATGGCACAAGGATTCAGGAAATACACTTTATAAAAGGGAAGCTGTGATTGTTAAAATTTGGGCAGTGCTATGTAGGCATTTGATGCCAGAGATGCAGGGCTGAATGGCCAGCCCAGCAGACAGGTTTGTCCCTCCTGATGCAGGGTACCTGTACTTTTCTGCTTGGCATGCTGACATGTCTAAATGATGGCTCTGCATGGCCGAAACTGTCTGCTTTCAGCATGATGCCCCTGTGCAAGGCTGTGGCCTTGGTCTAGGATCAGCATGTTAACATGGTCCTGAGGCCCCAGAGATGGGAGCTGACAGTACCTTCTGATTTCCATCAGACTGCATTAGCTCCCATCCTCCTGAGAAAGTTGTGATCATGATGAAGCCCAATTAGACATGTGGGATGAAAGAATATCGGGCCGGGATGTCACGCCTGGTAGCCTGATGGGTCCACTCATGTGTCAGGCCACCTTCTCCAAGTTCATCAGGCTAGAAGCAAGAAAACGGCCTCAGTGATAGCATCTTCGGAGTCAAAGTGACAGAGGAGGGGATGCTCTCATCAGCTTTGTTTGCTCCACCCCACACAAGGTGGTTTGGATCACTCTAAAATGAATGGTTTAGGAAATGGAATTATCTGGATGATTGCTTCCACTCACTAGCCTACTTTACCTCTGTCAATGAGAGAGACACCAGAGAGAGGAGACAGAGACAGAGATATTAGGAGGTTGATCTGATTTGGCTGAGACCATGGTGGTCTTACATGAAGATGGAGAGTTAGGGCCATATGTCCCCACCCCAGCCCAGTGCCATTGGAGTCATCTGACACTTTAATCAAAGACATGATGAAGTCAAGTAAGGTTGTTGGGAGGGTCATTGTAGTGGATGCCATTGGTGCCCTGCACAAATCTCTTGTTCATGTTGGTGCCCTTGAACTTAGGGATCAGGATCAAGCTTAGACCATATACTAGCTTAATTCCTTCCTTTGCGTCATCCTGCATTCCTCATCTCCCTTCTTTGAGAGTATGCTTCCAATAAACCACTTGAACAAGAATCCCTGTATTAGGCTCTAGGAAACCTAACTCAAGACAGTCATTGTGCACAGAAGTGTGAGGACCTAGTGCTGGGGACATGGCATAGCAGGTTCTATAGTGGTTCAGGCATAAGTTGATATGGTCGTGACCAGGAGAAGTGGTAATGAAAAAGCAAGGAAGACAGAGGTGCCAGAGATATCAGGATGGAAGATGCACCAGGATCCCATATCTGCCTGGATAAGGGGGGTGAAGAAGGAAGTATTTTAAGTTGAGGTGAGTGAGGGCACAAGTGGTGATGCCACTGGTTAATGGGAGGCAAGAATTTTCACTCTGTCCTTTTCTGTCTCTGGCTCACTTCTCCTGTCCTCCCTAGGCCTGCCTCTGCAGCTACTGTGGATATGCATTGATATATCCTTATCACCCAAAGTCTATATTTTACATTGCGGTTCATTCTCAGTGTTGTATATTCTCTGAGCTTAGACAAATATGTAAAGACATGTATCCACCATGACACAGTATCATACAGAGTAGTTTTGCTACCCTAAAAATCCTATGTCCTCCTCCTATTCATCTTTTCCTCCCTCCGAACTCTTGGCAACCACTAATCTTTTTATCATCTCCACAGATTTTCCTTTTCCAGAATGTCATATAGTTATAATCATATAGTATATGGTCTTTTAAGATGGGCCTTTTCTACTTAGTAAGATGTATTTATGATTCCTCCATGTCTTTTCATGGCTTGATAGCTCATTTCTTGTAGCACCAAATAATATTCCATTGTCTGGATGTACCAGTTTATTTATCCCTTCACCTGCTAAGGACATCTTGGTTGCTTTCAAGTTTTGGCAAATATGAATATAGCTGCTATAAACGTCTATGTGCAGGTTTTGTGTGGACATGTTTTCAGTTCCTCTGGGTAAATACCAAGGAGTGCAGTTGCTGAATCATATGGTAAAAGTATGTTTCCTTTTTTAAGAAACTGCCAAATTGGCAGAAGTATCACAGTTAGAGAAGACAGATTCATATCCAAATATATACCTAGTCTAGTGAGGACATACTGCTCCCACTCAATGATGAAATGGGTGCAATGTAATCAACTTGCCACTGGGTGGCTGGCTAGTCCCCTTAGGGAATTGTGCCATGCCAGGGCCTCAGGGTTGGGCTCTGCTGTTGGCAAGTTAGACCTTTGGTAATAGTAGTAACTAAGTCAGCCTTGGGGAGGAGGAGTCTATGTTGTTGAGCCTATTTAGAGCTGCCATCTCTGCGAACATGCCCATTTTGTACATCTATTGTGCTAACATTGGGGTGATTCATATCCACAGAACATTTAATCTTGTCTATGTGATGAAGAGTTTCCTCTGTAATGGATGTTGTTTGATGAGCATTCACATGGACCATAAATATCTTTCCATCCTGTGCCCATTCATAGGGAGAGGTTTGTTTCCATATCTTTCACAAAATTTAGTAAGTTTTTGGTCATTAATTCTTCAAATTTTTTTTTCTGCACTAATCTCTTTCTCTTCTAATTCTGGCATTCTGATGTCATAAATGTCATAAACCTTTGTTACTGTCTCATAGGTTCCTGAGGCCATATTCATTTTTTAAGGTATTTTATTTTTTGGTTGTTTAGATAGGTAATCTCAATTGATCTATTTTTACATTTTTTCACTCTTTTTCTGTCATCTTCACTCTTCTTCTGAGCTCATTCAGGGACTTTTCAATTTCACATATTCATATTATCTTTTTTAGTTCTAAAATTTCCATTTTTTCATGCTTTAACCATTTTTATTGCAGTATAATGCACAGGCAAAAATACATTAAAATGTGTAAATATATATTTCTTATTAGTATTTTTTTATGTTCAGTTAGCTACTGTATAGTATATAATTAGTTTTTAATGTAGTGTTCAATGATTCATTAGTTAAGTATAACACCATTTTAAAAATAGTTTTTATTTTTCTGCTAAGAATGTCTACCTTTCCATTTCATTTCAAGAGTGTTTACCTTTATGTCATGGAGCATGTTTATAATGGTTCTTTTAAAGTATTTTTCTGATGATTCCAACACCTGGATCATCTCAGACATGGCATCTGTTGATTGGATTTTCTCTTGAGAAGTGGTCACATTCTTAGTATGTTGAATACTTTTTAATTGTATTTTGGACATTTGAAACACTACATTGTGAATCTTTGAGTCCTTTTAAATTCTCTGGAGAATATTGATTTCATTGTTTTAGCAGGCAATCAGTCTGACTGGGTGCAAACGGCAAGTTCTCTCTTGTCATCTGGGGGCAGTGGTTCCAATGGTAATCTGGTTTTCAAAGCTTTTGTTAAGCTGCTTTGGATCTATTCCAGGCATGTGCCTCTCTGGAACATGGGCAGTGGGTGATACTGAAGTTTAGATTTCAGTCTTTGCTATGTGCTTTGGTTTG